CAAGTTTAATTGATAAGTTGCTTCACAAAATACCTACGCGTGTGACATGCATGTTGTGATACACCAGCAGTAGGCAGTCATTGAGTTAAGCTGCTGGAATTCTTGACTTCTTGAGAATGATTTTTTGGCAAGGTTATGTTAAAATGTTAGAACACTAACAGTGAAACAGGCTGCAGCCTTCCAAGCTCACAAAAACATCCATTGTAGTAAAGACAGAGTTAAAGAAGGAAAATCTGTAATAAAATCGGTCTAAATATTCCCACCCTGATCTTGAGTATCTGGAAAGACGAGAATGAAAAACCCAGAGTGCTTTATTGTGTTCATCTAAACTTTAGGGGGTCTGTTGAGGAAAGAGGATATTCCAGCTGAACATAATAGAGCAAATTCCAGAATGATTAGAGACTGTGATGTCTAATTAATTAGCTTTTGTGGTAGTTAATTAAGTGGTCAAGAGTAGTATATGAGGCAATAAAGTCTGCTTCTAGCTTTTAGCAGAGCCAAAGGTTATTTATAGAGTACTGATAGTGATGTAATTCCATTATACTGCAAAACTTGCATAGAAATGTGTTCATTAATACAGTTTAAGATTTGTATTGATTTTAAATATAAGAATAACATTTAAGCCCATAGAAAAATCTTGTAGTGAATACTTGGGCAAAATTACTGTGTGTAGACCCACATTCTAAATTACGCTCTCAGATATCCATCCCTGGGGTTTAAAATTCTATTTCCCATCAGTAAAATGAGCAGGACTTGGCCCAAAGGCAGGAAAAACTTTTGCCTCATAAGGAACAAAGTTGGGAATTTTCTACCATTTTTAGCAGCTTTCATGTTATATAAATAATAATTAAAGAAGTGAACAGGCTTATCTCTAGGATTGCTTCTTACATTTCTGAATCTAAACTTCTGGGTTTTTTTAGTGATTCCCTGATGTTTAAGGTTGAAAAGGCAATAAGACTTGTGAATATAAATCAACATAGTATCTCCAGGACTTTCGTAAGATTGCTTGGGATATCACTTGATGTGAGCTTTTAAATTTCTTGCATGTGTTCAGTAAGCTGAAAACACTGAATGTTACTGATAGCAGTTTAGATGTCACTGTTGACTGTTCGCTGTTGGTAGCTATCTGTCGGTAAAACTGCCTAACTTCCTGCGAGTGCCATCTTATTTGACAGCAGGATTGGGTACAGGGAAACAGTCCTGGCATCTAAGTTCAGTCTCCTTATGAATGAATGGAAAGAGAGAGACTCTGACTTAGGTGTTCTTCGTCCTTAATCTTCTTGAGGACAGCCAGGTCAGATACCGAAGGCCCTCTCCTGTCTCCAGAAGGGTCGCTTGCGCGTAGAACAACAATTTGCACCAGTGTTTAGTGTCTTCACGTTTGAACCTGGATGCGGTGTGCAGCCATCACGTTGCTAGGACCCAATCATGAGTGGGCTGAGTGCGCACACTTTGCCAGCCCACATACGATGCTATAATGCTAGCTTGCTTAATAGGGTTGCACATCAGATGGCACACTTGGGTCCTGCAGGGACAGCAGGCAGAGGTCTACAGGGAGGAAAACAGGAAGAAATGAAGTGGGTGGAAAGAGCAAATCAGGTGTCTGTCACCCTGCAATGACTTGTATGGAACGGGTAAGTGCTAGTAGGGGATACCAATCCTGTACCTTTTCCATACAAACACTTTCCCAAATATGTGTGGGTTTTTTCCATTTCTCTATCCAATATAGAAACTGCACAATGTTCCCTTTTCACTTATCTGTCTTTTTATTGAGATCTTCTGCCGCTTGTGGTAATACATTTCTTTTCTTTCTTCTTTTTCTAATATTCACAGTTAAAGACTTGTACTGTATCTCCAAACCTTTCTGATAGATTCCATAGAGAAGAAAATGATTCAGGGGAAAAATCTTTGAATGCATTTTTTGAAAAATACTAGGACTAAAGCTACCTTAAAACTCCCTGCAGGTTTAATGAGAGTGCCTGTTAAATTTTCTGTGTATAGAAGAATAATTTGCTAAACAAAATCCCTGCAATCGTACCTTGGTTGCCTATCTTTTTTTCTTTTAAACTTCAGAATAAATGAAAAATTGATCTGTATGGTCACTGAAACATTAAATTGTCTTATCTGTCACTTGTTCAACATTGGCTTCTTAAAAGGGAAAACAACAATCACAATCAGCAGTTCCTCAGTGCCTAGAAGAAAATAGAAGCTATAAATGGACAGATGAATTATGTGCTTCCAGTGGTTTTCAAGGGAAGCATTTACTGAGGGAGAAAATTGTTTTAATCTTATAACAACTAAGGAGTGTAGAGTTTGTAAAAACATGGAACACCTACACATAAACTTAATTTTTGTTGCATAGGAACATATACAAAGTAGCTTTCAACAAAAATGGTTGGGGAAACAAGCTCTTTCATTGTTTGGTATGCTATTTTGTATCTTTAACAAATCTCTGTGAAGCACTCAGGGAAACCTAAACACAGTGGGTTAGCTGAGTGTTCAGCCTTTACAGTATTCAAAAAATTAGGAGTGAATCTTCTTTTAAAATGGAAATAAGTATAAATTTGGGTCATGTGGTGTGTATCTTTTCTTTCCTTATTTTGAAAGAGTGGAGGAAAAGAATAGGAGGAAGCTAGAATCAAACCCAGACAAAGAGCAGCCTCTGCGTTCTTGTTTTTCATTTCCCTGTCCTGTGTCTATTTCTAGATTTTGCTAAGGATCCACTGAATCAAAATACAGAGTTGCAAGCCTGCCAGTAGGAGGCATGGATATCCTCTTTCTTTGATTAATTAATCCTGGCCATTAGAACACCCTCTATCTCCTTTTTTTTTTTTTTCTTGTCCAGCTGTTTTATGTTCAACAGCAAAATGAAACCAAGTAAATTTTGGAGAGGGAAAAAGCGAGAAAGCTTTCAAGAGTGCAACTTTCATTCTCTCTTGGAGAAACTAAGTAAATAAAGTACTGGACATCCAAAATACCATAGATTGTTGGCTAATAAAGGCAGAAATGTAATATCTGAATCCTTTGTTATGACAGGAAGGTAATAAGAATCGTAATCTGATCCTTAAAATTAAGCTGGTTTTTTGACTGCAAATTTAGAGGCCAGATAAAGCTAAACAGAATTACCCCTTTTATTACCATTGTAATGTACTACCCAGTGTAATAATGAGATTTTCTTATGGCTGCCCTCTGTGCTGGTGTGGGAGAACAGCTTAGTATCCTAGAAATACTGGGGCAAGAGGGGAAGAAGAGGAGAGAAGATTGTTGAGGACTGGAAAGTGAAGGTGTTCCTTTGGTTTTAGTTCCAATGTGTGCAAAGCGGGGGACACAAAGGCAACCTGGTATATAAAACATTGATTTTTGCACAAGATGGCTTGTCTGCCAAACGTTTCCGATAACATTTTCCTTCCTAATCAGAAGCATGTGGACGCATTACTCAAAGGTGGACTGGAAATGCAGATCCCATTCCTTCTTCCACTGATGTTAAAGGAGATGTGCAAGATCAACTATTGGTAGAGCTGTGAGCAAAACCTAAGAAAGGAAAAGTGAACTGGTGGGAATGTTTTTAGAGGGGGAGTTTTATTCTGGAGAACACGTTAAGGTTTCCTAAGTCCTTCTTGCATGCAGGGTACAGCTTTACGTACAGCCAAAATGCCAATCTAGTTCCCATCTGTTTTGTTTTGGTGAAGCCACATTGTGGGAGGTAGGTATAGCCTGAGACTCCACTAGTACAATCACTTTGAAGACCAAGTATGATTCCATAAGGGTTAGTGAAATAACTGTAGCAAAAGGTGCATGTAGTTGGTGGTAGCACATGTGAAAGTATTTGCATTGGTCTGAAGACAGTGAGTGGATATTATGGGTGAAATGTGGCAAATAAAATCAAGGAATAATGGAAACAGGAAAGCTCAAGTTCTTGGGTGGAAACTAATAACTTAGGGATTCAGACCTCGTGTGGAATCCTGATAGCCATTTTTACGCATGAATGCCTGGGTTCATTTGACCATAGGAAAAAAGAAAGGGTGAACAATATCTGCAGGGGATAATTTTTATTTCACTTTGATCAGAAATAGCAATCAACAACAGCAGCTGAAAATGCTGTAACTCTAGAGGAAAATACTTAGAGGCAGCAGATGATACATGCTATGTTCTGCAGAGTGGTATTGCCGATAGACTGCTGTAGAAGTTTATGCGTGGCGTTAATCCATGACTTCGCTGAATACTCATACAGTTTTCCCAGCTTGCTGTGGGGGGGAGTTATTGATACCTACCTCTTTGAAACATAGTTTGAATTCTTGAAGTATTTGACTCTCTTCGTTTTCATATATTTTCTATGACACATCGCCAGTGCTTACTACCTTACATGGTGGATAGCAAAACTTACAGATTCCATTTAAAAGGTTTTAGCATGAATTAGTACTTTAAGTTTTAAACGGAATGTCTGCTTGGGGTTTATCCACTGTCACATTCAAAATAACACTCTTATTTTAATTGTATTTGATTACTTGGGATAGGGTGGACTGTATATTGTTTCTTATGTTTTTTGTGTACCTCTAGATGTAATGAAATAAAAAAACTGCACAAAGAAGATTTTCCAGCCTAGCAGATGTTTAGGGTTCAGTACATAGAGAATAAATGCAATTGCACTAATACAGAGTCAAGCAATATAACAGGAATGACCGATCTTTAAGATCAGAAGTCCTCCTTACATGTAAGGACTGCAGTTTTCATGTGTAGTGAAAGATTTAATGCCTTAAAGAACAGATGTCTGTGTTCCAACAAAAATGATGCTCTAAACAAATTGTGGTTGTCAGTGGAGATTCTGCCAAAGGGAGTTCTGTCAAATAAACCATAAGATCCTAATTATTGTAAAGTCACAGCCTATCTAAGTTTTCCCTCAGCTTTGTTTTACTGGATTGTTTTGGCTATATTTGTGAGGAAAATTGTTAAAATGTGCTAATTTATTATGCTCCTATTTACGCAGTGCTATTCCTGGTTTTATGGGAATCTTGCAGAGGATCATGTGCATCAGTGGAAGCCTGCTGCGTCCGTCAGTGTGGAATAAATGGTACACAAGACCATATGGAAGCTCTCTGCATAAAGGTATTTCTCAGTTCTTGGTCTTCCTTGGCATAGTTCTAAAGGTGATGAAAAATCGGGCCAGAGAAGGAAATGTTAGGAGTAACCAAAGTTGTAGTTAACATGCCTGTCAATGAAATGCAGGGGGAAGGTTGACGATGAGGAAGGGAATTAAACATGTGGAAGAATCTAGAAAATCAGAGTTTTTAAATAACTGCAGCCTTGAGGCTTTTAATATGTCAGTCACTGGCCTTCTCCGCTGAGAGCGACTAAAATGTTTACAGTGCTTTTTTTGGGTGGATGACATTTAAAACCTCAGCAATTAAATACTCGTCTTTTTCATTTTAAGTAGCTGCATACAAACATGTATTTATGAAATGTTATTTTTGATTGCCACAAAGAGAGAGTTGCAAGTAGGCATAAATCAGTTTAGAAATGTTACCCTCACCATAAGTACTTCCTTATTGCTTTTATATTATGTAAATCAAGGAGGGGAAAAAAAAGATCAGAATTCATGTGGTTGTTTTTATATCTTCAAGAGCTGACCAATAATAGCATAAGGGAAAAGGTAGGGTCAACAAAAGGTTTCTTGAGGAAATATCAGCCAGATCTCTGAGTTCTCATTGTGTATCTTCCAGAAATTTCATGAGAAAGCTAACCCTGTAAATATAGACTCTGGTCTTCAGACATGTGAGATTCCATGTGCTGGGGCACCCATTTCTGTGCAAGGTTAGGTGATAAGCGTGTGTCCGGTCATTAAATAGCTGAATCCTGCAGCACATAGCCTTAAGAGGGGAGCATGGCTTCTAGCAGGGCTCCTGTCAGCGCTGGGTCCTGCTAAACAGCACATTCCCCAGCTGCAGTGCCAGTACCATGACCTTTCTTTTGCTCCTTGACCCGCACATCAGATGCAGCTGGTCAGATAATCACAGATCAGACTGACCACCTGCATCTGATGTGTGGGATCCAAAAGTGGGAGAGAAGCCATGGTACTGCCATATAAAAATGTGCAGTGCCGGCAGTGACAGAGTGTGATACAAAAGAACGAGTCAGTGCATGAGACTTGACAGGTCTGCTTTGTAGCACAGCTGGGGATTCACCAGATCCCACAGCACAGGGAGTGGGAAGTGCTCTGTGTGCTGCCCCTCTTTGCAGAACAATCTTTAGAAGTCTGTTTCTGCGTGCATAACTTATCAGCCAACCTAATGAGATTTGCACCGCGAATGCCACAGCTAAATTTGTCTTGCAGATAGTGTGGAAAGCACTTTAGCCTAGGAAAACATGATTTTTAGCCTCTTCCCCATTTATTTCATAGAGAGCTCTTGTTAAGCGTTCAGGTTTTGAGTCAATGTTATCAAAGCTACATGTTTTGACAGGTTCTCTCCTGTGTGTGTGTATATGGAAAGGTTCTTCATGTACCTCCTAAGTTGAGAGATATAATTTGAACAGGGAAAATTATGGTTCATAAAGTGCTCTTGTTAGGTGACATGACTATGCTTAGTCCACTGCAGGACAGCCTACACAGAGAAATGCATATTTCCATACAAATTACAGTATACTGCAGCCAAGAGATCAATTAGAATGTCTGCGACCAAGAACTCTCAAGTGTCTCCATTCAGTCTGCCATTCAAACGAGACGAGAAATGCGTTCAATTGGTGTAAAGAATTTGAACTCTTTCACGGAATGTGTAGAGACTGCCGGAAAGTGGCATTCCCCGCGGGGTGGGACTTGCAGATTCTGTGAGATCCAGCAGGGAATTTTAAGGGTTCTGTAACCTAACATTTTGTCTCCTGTTGAGAGAAAAATTGCAGAACCTGCTGAATATTGTGGAAAGAATGAGGATTTTTCATTGGCCAAATATAACTGACTATGCCGGCTCTATCATGCATTACATCGGTCAGCTTGATCATCTTGAATCTATGCTGTATTTCATTTGAAAGGAACTCAGATGCAAGCTATGTTGCAGATACAGCACCAGCATCTCTGGTGTTGGAGTGCAGGTCTTCTGGAATGAAACGTCACAGGAATGAAGCGTCATAACTGTTTAACAACGCACAGTAACAGTTCACAGATCAACACAGGAAATTCAGGTTTAAAAAACCTTGAACACATGGAAGTGTAGATTTTTAGGGCAGCAGAGTATGATACTGTCTATTCTTTTGGTAAGTGCCTCAAGATACTCATTTGACCAGAAGTTGTCAAAAACTGTGTATAGCATTTCAAAATGCCTACCTTTCATCACGACGATCCAAGATCCCTCCCTTTGACTACAGGAGTAAAGTTCAGTTCTTACTCAAGTCAATGAAAAAGCTCCCATTGACTTCAGCAATACAGCAGCAGAATGCAGAAGGCATGAAAGCTATCCCAGCTTTCAATAAAAATCCTTACCAAATGAAGTCATTGAAATGTAATAGAATTTAAATGTTAAAAGTACCTCTAATAGTTATTTCTGTGTAATATTGTTATATGGCATTTAATAACATTTTAAATACTTTATACGTAAAATAGCGTGACATTCCTATACATTATCACATTATTTAAATAGACCATTCCTATAGTATTTTTTTGTCGCTGAGTGATTTGAAATATTTTTGCTCCATTTTAAGCAAAAATATTCCTCCCAGCACTTAGTGAAGTATTTTTTTCATGGCTAGCTTTTCCCCTTTAAAAATACTCTTTGACTGTAGGGAAGATATTAAACTTAATAGAACAATTTCTTGTTATAAAGGTACTGATTAAAAGAGAACTTTTATTCAGAGGCCAGATTTCTTTCATTCATGTTTTATTAAGGGTTTCCCCAGGCACAGGCTCAGTAGAGTAAGTCTCATGAATTGTTGAGAAGGGGCAGAGTTCGCAGGCGTTTCCTGTGGAACTCAGAGGTCCAAATTCTCTGATAAGCTTTTTATGTCGGTTGCTGTCCCGAAAGTGTCTTAATATTTTAAGGTGCCTCTTCTTGCTCATTTTGGTATCTGTTTACAAAAGAGCTATTTGTAGTGATGGCACGACTGCTGTGTGTCTGACTTTGAACAATCTTTTTCATAAGGGATATGAGAGCTCTTTTCTGGTAGGAACTGGCTCAGATTCAATATTAAATATGGGTTTGCAGCAAGTTAGGCCTAAAATTCTTGGAAGTCAATGGTGTTTAGCAGCTCAGGCAATTGAGTAGGGTCAAAATCTTTACTTTTCACTCCAGAGCTTTCATGCTGCAAAACCCTCCCAAAATCTTAGAAGAGCTGTGGGCTGATTTTCTTGGAGAAGTCAGGGGCAGACCAAGGGAATGACTGCCGAGTGCAGCCTGTGGTGTGGTGGGAGATGGGGCTGCGGGGTGCTGGGGGGTGTAGGAGCAGACTGTGGGGTGCTGGGGGGCGTAGGAGCAGGCTGCGGGGTGCTAGGGGGCGGTAGGAGCAGGCTGTGGGGTGCTGGGGGGCTTAGGAGCAGGCTGCAGGCAGGGTTGGGGTGCAGGATGCAGGAGCAGGCTGCGGGGTGCTGGGGGGCGTAGGAGCAGGCTGCGGGCAGGGTTGGAGAGCACCCAGATCCCAGGCAGCACAGGGGCCCGGGCAGAGAGGGTGAAGGCATACAGTGAGCACCCAGATTTACCCAGGAGGTGGGTGGATGCAGGGCGCCTTATCTTAGCGTACTCTCCTGTTAGATGTACGTGGTACATCTACTGCTGATTTTATGCTGTTGTGCAGTGCCCTGGGCCTTTGCCATCCCCTCCCCAGGGCTCTCTGGACTTGGCGGATGATACAAAGCAATAGGACGCCCTCCTCTGGATTGCTGGGTCCGGCTGCACTTTATACAAAAAGATAAAGATCAGAATAAGGGAGCTGGGAAGGATTGGCATCTTTGAAAGATTTCATTATAAATTGTATTTTATGGAACATAGTAGAAAGTGATGTAATACAGTATGTGGAGTGACATACTGAACAACCTGTGGAATATTCCAGTGTATCTATCCTCCCAGTATGACAGCAAAGGGCTACGCTGTAAAAAAAGGAAGCTGAATATATAAAGGTAATGCAAATTTATATGTTTGTGTATATATAAATTTATGCATATAAATGAGTTTTACAAGTTTAAATATAGGTGTATGCGTAAGTGCTGGAAGGAGAGCAGATTTGATTTTTTATTAACTTTAGATCAGGAAAATATTTATTACTACATTCCAGGACTTAATGTAATTGCACTAAGGATTGAGTCAGGAAGACCTTTTTCTGTGGACATGCAATAACAAATACCTGGTGTGAGCTTTGAAAGCTGTCTTCTCCAGGCAAGTTAAGTTGCTTATTTGAAAGTAACAACCGAGTGTCCCTTACAGATGGTGCTGCAGTCCTTGTGAATAAAAATAAAGACAGCCTTTTAAAGCAAGCTGTTGCTTGTTCACTGTGCAGTAACAGCTATGAGTCCGTACCTGTAGACAGCCTACCGTGTCAGAGTCAAATTCTTGAAAAGTACTGCACCAGCATAATACAGAACACCAGCAGTGTTCCTCAGGGCTCAATTCTAGGGCCAGTTCTGTTCCATATATTTATCAATGATCTGGATGCAGAAGTGGAATGCACCGTTAGCAAGTTTGCTGATGATACCAAACTGGTATCCAAATGCTGGATTCTGCTCCTAGGATGGAGTAATGCTGGGCACAAGAATAAATTGGGAGAGGAGTGGCTTGGAGAGTAGCCCTGCAGAGAGGGACCTGGGGGTGCTGGTGGGCAGCAGGCTCAGTATGAGCCACCAGTGTGTCCTGGCAGCCAAGAGGGCAAATCGTGTCCTGGGGTGCATCAAACACAGCATAACCAGCCAGTCAAGAGAGGTGATTGTCCCGCTGTATTCGGCACTGGTGTGGCCTCACAGTGAATCCTCAGGGCTCAATTCTAGGGCCAGTTCTGTTCCATATATTTATCAATGATCTGGATGCAGAAGTGGAATGCACCGTTAGCAAGTTTGCTGATGATACCAAACTGGTATCCAAATGCTGGATTCTGCTCCTAGGATGGAGTAATGCTGGGCACAAGAATAAATTGGG